CAGTGTGTAATACAGAGACACCCAGTGTGTAATAGACACCCAGTGTGTAATATAGAGACAGTGTGTAATACAGAGACACCCAGTGTGTAATACAGAGACACTCAGTGTGTAATACAGAGACACTCAGTGTGTAATACAGAGACACCCAGTGTGTAATACAGAGACAGTGTGTAATACAGAGACACCCAGTGTGTAATACAGAGACAGTGTGTAAGACAGAGACAGTGTGTGAGACAGAGACAATGTGTAAGACATAGACACCCAGTGTGTAATATAGAGACAGTGTGTAATACAGAGACACCCAGTGTGTAATACAGAGACACCCAGTGTGTAATACAGAGACAGTGTGTGAGACATAGACACCCAGTGTGTAATATAGAGACAGTGTGTAATACAGAGACAGTCAGTGTGTAATACAGAGACACCCAGTGTGTAATACAGAGACAGTCAGTGTGTAATATAGAGACACCCAGTGTGTAATACAGAGACACCCAGTGTGTAAGACAGAGACACCCAGTGTGTAATACAGAGACAGTGTGTAATACAGAGACACCCAGTGTGTAAGACAGAGACACCCAGTGTGTAATATAGAGACAGTGTGTAATACAGAGACACCCAGTGTGTAATACAGAGACACCCAGTGTATAATACAGAGACAGTGTGTAATAAGACAGAGACACTCAGTGTGTAATGGCCAAGGTGACAGTGTAATACAGACAGTGTAATACATATATCACCCAGTGGTGTACAGACACCTGTGCGTGTAATATGGTATATTGTGTATTGCCAGGAGACAATTTGTGTAATACAGAGCATAATTTCAGTGTAATACAGACACTCAGCGGCCGGCTGAGACACCCAGTGTAATACAGTGTAATACAGAGACACCCAGTGTGTAATACAGAGACAGTGTGTAATACAGAGACACCCAGTGTGTAATACAGAGACAGACAGTGTGTAATACAGAGACACCCAGTGTGTAATACAGAGACAGTGTGTAATACAGAGACACCCAGTGTGTAATACAGAGACACCCAGTGTGTAATACAGAGACAGTGTGTAATACAGAGACACCCAGTGTGTAATACAGAGACACCCAGTGTGTAATATAGAGACAGTGTGTAATACAGAGACACCCAGTGTGTAATACAGAGACAGTGTGTAATAGAGACACCCAGTGTGTAATATAGAGACAGTGTGTAATACAGAGACACCCAGTGTGTAATACAGAGACAGTGTGTAATACAGAGACACAGTGCGTAATGCAGACAGTGTGTAATACAGAGACACCCAGTGTGTAATACAGAGACAGTGTGTGTAATACAGACAGTGTGTAATACAGAGATACATAGTGTGTAATACAGAGACAGTGTGTAATACACAGTGTAGCAAAGCAGCAATATTAAATCCCACGAACTCCGCTGGTAAAGAAGGTAATCCACAGTCAAGCGCTGAAAAGTAAGGCAATATCCCAAATCCTCCAGTAACCGGACGAAACGCAGTTTTGGGAGTCAGCTGAGGTCTTTATTCACAGCTCCAGTATTTATGCAAGTCCCATGCAAGGGGTTTCCCTACTGACATTGCCGGGTGTTACGGACCGTTTTGCACACAAGGGGTAAAAACCGTTTAGGCGATCGGCCCCCTTTCCAGAGATGCAGGCACAGCTATTGTAAAACACCAAACTCACGAACTGCCAATAAAGGAATGCTCCAAACTCCCGAACGGCATCCAATATAGCACTCCAAACACACGAACTGGAACCATACGAATCACTGTTAGCAGACGAATAGGAAAAGCATCCAAGCGGCCTACACTCTTAGCAATCAGTCTCTATCAGCATTCAGTAAATCCCCCCAAAGACGAGACAAGGCTCCGTGTTCAGGGTCAAGCAGTGGTCTGTTTAACGAGGGCTACCTTCCCAGTATTTATGCAGGTCTCCCACCTGGTGGACACTCCCCTAGGGGACCAAATGGGAGACTGTGACAAAGGACAGACAAGTAGACCAATAGGACACACAAATACAGTTCAATCGCCATGGAGCCAAAGTCTTTACAAAGTCAGTTCTCATACGAATGGGCTCCATGGGATTCCTATCTGGGGTATAACGTAGTCAGGTAAAACTACCGAACACCGGGCCGTTCGTGCACTCCTGCCGAACAAGAAGGGAGGTCGGCGGCTTCAGCGGTGTTCGCGCAAAAACTGTGTCCGATTTTAGTTCCATGAATTAAGCGTCGAACACCGCTGTGCGTTCGCATGTTTAAAATGGCCGCGACCTTGTGTTCGTGATCCGAATGGCGGCCACCCAGCATTTGTCAATTAAGCTGCGGTTAACCCCTGTAATGTCAGGGAGGCTAATTGCCGGCACACTCCAGCTCCCAGGTGGTCCAGTCATTTGTGCGGTTGTTCGGTAGATTTAATCTACCGAACACCAGGCAGAAAAGCACGAATAAATCCTTTCTGCAGGGAAAAAAAGATGTCTTTTAACATGAGGCCATAGTCTAAAGGTACCAGGCTTCTCCAATACAATGTGGCGAGATTGGTCTCGTCACACAGGGGTAATACAGTAGGGGACTACATGGGGGACGTAACATTCTGGGCATTTCTCCCACCAGGCACTGCTGCACGAGAGGGATACTCCCACTGGAATATACCATTAAGTGGATTATCCCTCCGTGCAGCAGAACCGACAATTCACTTTTAAATACATAACTTTTGTAATACTTAGTCTATTTAAACGAATGGATGTTCGGTAGATAGCTGGGGTCTGCGTGCACAGTTCGTGAGAATACCGCTCAGATCCCAGCTAAAACAACCGAACGCCGCATGAAATACACTTTGCCATTGAGTTCGCCCCAAAGTACCGAACACCGATGGGGGAACCCTAATGGCGAAAGACCGGAGCTCCTGAACAGCCTGGAAGTCCAGCGGTGTTCGCGCCGTCGAGTAGCCCTTTCCAGTTCCATGCGCTCGACGGCCAAACACCGCTGGGGAGACAAAGGATCCAAGATGGCCGACCGCCGCGTGGTCGGTAGCCGAACGACGGCCACTTTGGAGAGCCTCTAATTACCGATTGCAACATTGTTGCAATCGGTTAACAAGCGCCACACGTCCCTTAGTGTGTGGGCTATTAAACGATAGTTCATTCGGTTCACGAACAGCCCGCAAAGGCGCTGTTCGTGAAACGAAATACAGTAAGGCTATCTGCTTTCGGCAGATAGCTGACAAGATCAATGAAACATGCAGTGAAGGAAGTTAATTACAGCCAGGCACATATTATAGCACAATAAAGACACAGG